CAACATCATTAGTCTAAAATCTACCTATATCTTATTTTAGCTACCGGCCAAATTCTGCTGCAGGATGATGTTGCATGGTATAATTCCATCTCTACAGTAAATTTTGGTAAACCATCATTGACCATGTTTGGGGTAGTTTGAAAAAGGAAGCACGGAGGATGAAACCAACAAATATTGATGAACTCTGGGAGGCATGCAAGACTGCTTTCTTTGCTATTCCTGATGACTTCATCAATAAATTGTATGAATCCTTTCCAAACCGCATGGATCCGCATGGACCAATTTTGATCTCACAGCATCACTACTCGTATTTATGTATTTTGCAGTATTTCTGTATAGGTGCCAATTTTGTCTTGCCAAAATTTTCTGCCTTGATTGAGTGATGCATCTTTTTTTTCAGTTCATTTAGTATCATTTGGGAGGGTTTTAGTTTTTAATATGAGCTATTTGTAACACCAATTGATTAATTAAAAGTTCTACAAAATAGATACACGTCAAGACTTATGTCAGAGACTGTAAGCAACCGTCTGAGACTATAGGAACATATAGACTAAACTAAACTGCAGAAACACACCTGTAACACTTGCATCCACTACTCTATTCATCTCATCCGCTAATCACCTCCTAATCTCCTTTTATAAGCCATACATCCTCCTTGTCCAGTCTACCATTCACTCAGGCACTGACTCCTCATTCTGATACCTGGAATAAATACATCTTCATTCCTACAATCCTTCATCTCTAAACTCTTATTCCAGCAAGTTCCAAACTACTTCCGGGTTCCTACTTGACCTCCCGCTGAATTTGGACCATCCCCCTGTTCTTCCCTAAAGTATACCGACCGATTCTCCAAGAATCCTGTCCCTGCCCTTCATAGTTACTTCAATAACTGCATCTATAAAACTTGCTATTTTGGGAAATGAAAATGCCATATTAGGTTGGCAAATTAGTTCTGTCATTTCTTGTTTTCCTCTACTGAGGTTGAACTGGGTGAGTGTGCTTTTGTGTTTTTACTTTTTCTTGCAGACTGCCCTGACAGTTCTGCCAGCATAATGTCATCTCACAAACACACACACGGGGAGACATCTTCCTTCTCTCTCCTCTTTCTGCCCTTGTCTCGCCTTTTTAATTAACCTCCAGTCCACCCTTAAATCAATTCATGCTGCTGCGATGTCTGGTGGGTAACCTATGTTTCCTCTCCTAGCCCTTCAAAGATTGGCTTGCTCTCCCTCCGCGTCTCATGATTGCTTGAAAACACCCTTTCAATCATTCACTACAATTGATGTTTTTAAAGATTGTTTAAGGGACAATCCCTTCTATCCCTGCAATTTGACTCGATTTCAGCTGTATGTATTTTGTTCCACCTATTGTGGGGCAACGAGAAGTGAAATTGTTCTTAATCTCTCCCCCGATAGGATTCTGGGATTGTTTAAATTGGTAATTGAGCTCTTCTGTTACTGTTGCAAACCAGGAGATCAGCCTTCAGAGCTATTAGAGTTGATTGAGGTCGGAGGTTAATAGCGAACTGCTCCTCATACGTGAATCCTATTTCAACAAGTGAAAGTTGCACTGGAGTGTCAACACCAGTTCAGCAGGAGCAGATGTGACTTTGTGTAATGCTTGACGGCAGGATACTCTTGCTTTTGAAGTTTATCTGCTCGGATGTGACACCTGTAATCTCCAGACGCTCGAATGCGCTCACAAATGTCTAAACAATTAGTTTAGGAAGTGTGCTGTGTGCTGTCCTGAGGAGAACCGATATGATGGGCAAACTGTATACAGGTTTTTTATTTAATAGTTCTGACTGTTTTGATGGAAATGACATTGAAATTTAATCTGAACGCTTAATTCTTGCATCCAGCTGAGAGAACATCTGGTCAGGTGTAACTGAGCTTTAGATTTGTATTCAACTGCAGCCTTCTCATCAGACACCATAGCAGTTTTCTGAATTGTTGATTGGTCTTATCTTTTAAATCCTCCTTTGTGCATATATAGCTTTCAAGCTTCTGTGAGATGGAGCAGGAACTTGGGTAATCACCATTGCAAAGCTGGCTGAGATCGAGGATTGTCACTTCCTTCTGTGGCTTACTCCTCTCATGTTTGTTTGTTCAAGAGTGCGAAAGCAACCATGAGAGAGGCATGGGTCTTTCTGACCCTCCCAGCAAACCTCTACTGCTGGCCAGCCAAACGCCTCTGGTAGTAAAACAGTACAGGTACCCCATCTCACGAGATCCTGCAGGTGAGCCTGGTACAGCCACAGTGAGGCCGGTCACCCAGGATCTCATGAACTGAACCACAACCCTTCTTTTCACCAGAGCACCAGGATACAAACACTTTCCCTGCAGCATAATGGATCAGCATTAAAAAGTATTTATTGTAATAAAGAGACTGTTTGTACCCTAGATTTTTGTCTGTGCCTCATTCAACCTGCTACACTGCATTTCTGATGTACTCTTTTGTTTTCAATCAAGTCTTGAAATCAAAGTCTGAATTCAAAGTCAAGAAATTGAAGTCTCATCTTATAATTAGAATTTCAGGAAAAAATTTTATTTCAAACTACACTAGACTGGGTTGGATGGATGGTCCATAAGTGACCGAATCAGACCAAACAGGACCAGATGGATGGGTGGATGAACAGATGGGTTGATGGATGGACGGGCATATGGATGGACAACGGATGGATGAGTGGATGGACTAAATGGACAGATGGGTGGACAGAAGAACTGGATGTATGGGTGGATTGATGGTCCAGAACTGACTGAATCAGACCAAACAGAACCGGGTGGATGAATGGATGGACCAGAGAATGGATGGATGGATGGATGGATGGATGCATGAATAGACAGATGGGGGTTGATAGGTCTCCCAGATGGATGTGTGGATTGATGGATGGGTGGATAAATCCTTGGAAACACTATTATTTGATCAAATGCAAGAGTGCTGGTCACTCTGGCCACAGCTGTACATGTAAGTTGTTCACAAGTCCCAGGTGTCCAGCTTTGCTCTGAAAACATGTTGCATAAGACTCAGCAGGTCTCGGTCTCCTGCCGGGTTTGTCTGTAGCTGGTGCTGGACACACAGTAGGTCTGTGAATGTGCACTTGGAACACAATGAGAGAAAATTGGGAGTGTGTGAAATGAGGCTTTTATAGTCTAAGTTGGCAAAATTTTACTTTGCAACCTTTCTGACATTAGAACAAGAGCTAAGAGGAAAAAAACTTGACAATGAAGAGGATAAAAAAAGTGTGTGCTGTAGAGTAGAAGCACAGAGATAATAAAGAACAAGAAAAGGAACACTGGTCATTACTAGAACAGATCCATTGTGCCAGTGTTTGTGTGCGCACTCATGCATCGGTTGGTGCCTGCCAGGTCGAGTGGCTTTTTGAGAGTAATGAAGGACAATGGGGCCAGAAGGGATATTGAAATGCTTTCAAAGTGGTGAAGTCACTTTGTCCTCTCTCTCAAGGAGGACATACTTCAAATTTGATGGCCTTTTAGCTGAAACACACTGGAATTATGCTCTGCTGTAAAATTAAGTCAAGTCAGCCCATGTTTCGTATCAGTACAGTTCCTTTAGTAGTGGACAGTTTGTTGCTGATGATTAGTTTCGAAAGAATTTATGGATTTTTTAAATCCTAATGGTCCACTAAAATAAATTTTTTTTATTACTTTTATATCAATAACAGGGCGGCACGGTGGCACAATGGGTTTTTACTTTGGGTACTCCGGTTTCACCCAACGATCCCAAAAACATTTGCTTAGGTTAACTGAATAAATCAAAAATTGCCTTAGGTGTAAATGTGTGAGTGAATGTTGCCCTGTAATAGACAGGCGACCTGTCTAGGGTGTACCCTCACCTCTCGCCCAATGTGTGCTGGAGATAGGCACTGGCAGACGTCTGTGACCCCATAAAGGGAATAAGTGGGTTGGAAAATGAATGAATGAATATGTGTGTAATAACATGTCTGTAATTTTAATAAAAGCCAAATAAAACAATTGAGGCACACTGGCCTCTCCCACTGTCACACCCACTGCCGCAACCTCTAGCAAAGTGAAATTTTGAGGCTGTGTACTTGAGGGTGCAAGTATTTTGGATTTGCCTTGTCTTTACGTTATCGTTTGTTAGCAGTAGCATAAATGCTAACTTTACTGTAAAATAGCTGTTTATTTCTTAGACAGATGTAAAACATGTATTAACTGCTACTTGTTGGACTCATCCTCACTCACAGTTTTGGTCAAAGGCACGATCCTGCAGCAGAAGTTCTGGTTGGGATTATAAGAGGTAGCTAGGATTTATTGGTATTTTAGACTATTGATGTTGGCTTCCACCTTGCAGGCCTCTTGCCCACTCCCATACTGGATATAACCCCAGACCATGATTTTTCCATCATGAATTTCACTGTTTTCTGGGTGAATCTCGGATCCATGCAGACTCCAGTAGCGATCATTTGCGATGACTGTAGTATAATTTAACAGAAAATTCATCTTCTGGATTTTCCTGACCTTGGCTTGTAAAAAATGCAGTTTTTTTTCTTTTAAATCTTTAGCCTCTGTACTTGATTCTGAGACACACTGAAGGTGTCTGCCAAATCAGCAATGAATCTGGTCTCCAACCTCTTCATAATCAACACTTTAATCTCAGGTTGAATCTTAGGGATGTTTGCGCAGGTCTAGTTGCTTTTGATGTGAGGGTCTAGCACACTTTAGTTCTTTTATACATAATTGATCCATTTTTAGCCACAGGTGAAGGTCATTTGAGAAAGCGACAACACTTACGTCTGTGCAAAAATGTATTTAATTTGCTTTACCAAGCTGTAAATATTAGAATACTTTTGGACAGTTTCGTTTTTCGTTTTCTTGATTTCAACTGCACTTCAGGTCAATTTGTACACAAGAGACAAGACTTTTGTCAGAAACTGTAGAAAATAAATCTCCACATTAGATTTTTTTAAACAATTGGGATCAATTTATGAACAAATATTCTCTGCAATGCAAGATGTTTCCTTGTTAGTATAGGTGACAGTATCTCCGCCTATCATGCAGAACACTGGGGATTGATTCCCCAATGGAGAAGTCCAGCCCCTGGCCCAAAGTGAGCTGGAGACCAGCACCAGCAAACCCCCACCATCCCAAAAGGGAAGAAGTGGGTAACAAGATGAATGAGTGAATAACCTCTGCAATCCGAGCATCTGTTCTGTATGCTCTGAGGGTTCAGACTCGTAGTTTGGAGACAGAGGCAGATAGATGGAGAAGTATCTGACAAAACCATGCAAGGGCGTAACTTTGCTATTTAAATTTTTTCTCATCAGTATATCGCTGCTGTTAAGCAATATAGCAAAAATATCACATAACTCATGGTCACACTGTTTCCTACTTGTATGTTTATTTAATCATTTATTAATATAAAAGTCAGGCTACTTGGTGTCTGTATTAGAAATTATTCCCATAAATCGGAAGTTTAATTACCAATGCATTTACCTCCTTTTGTGCATGACGTTGTCTTTTTGCAAATGTCATGTTTGCGAACAAAAGTGTTTTCTGTCTGCTTCTCTTCATGTCCGATTCTAAGTGCTTTGTAAGCATCGGCAAACATTAGATGTTTGAAAGACAGTTATCACAAATTGGCAGTTGAAGCACGGTTTTGGTAATACAGAGTATTGATAAAATAATTTTTGCTGGAAATGTAAATAATTTAGAAAAATCAACACGTTATTCATGAACATAATTAAAAATGTTTAACTAGAATTAAGTGATTTTATTGGGCGGTGTGGGGTGGAGGGGTATGGCCCCTGTGTACATGTAGATGTATAAGAATAAACCTTGAATGCTTGCATTAGAAAAGAGCCAAATTTCCATTTGAAAACACATTCAGGGTTACCCTATTATTTCTGAGCAAATAGATTTTATTTGAAAATCCTCTGATCCCAGAAGGGAAACTGTGGTGGAGAGATCTCTAAAATGATCATAGAGTTAATTGATGTTCATGACCTCCAGTTTGATTTTGATTTAATCCCACGTTATACCTCAATATCACTTTGTTTCATTGGCATTTGGTTTAGAAGACAAAATGCTGAGGATGTCTAGACAAAGCTTGACCTTTAGGGTGTACTTGTTGGATTAGACCTCAAAGCATTTAGCAGAATATTATCATAACTGCTGACAACCATACACATGGATGACCTTCTCCTGCTTGACAACAGGCTTTTGTTGAGGTATGGATGACATTGAGATGACAAGTGCATCTCATTGTTGGAGTGTTGATTGAGGTCAAGCATGGTTTTAGGGATGAATATTGCAAAAAATGCAATAAGAATCCAAAAATTAATGTACAAATCTCAATTCTGCACCAACATTGATCTGTCAACAGTGGGTCACCCATTTACCTTTGTAACCATGTCACAAAATCAATGCTGGATGTTTTGCAAAGCATAAACCATTATGGTGGGAGCCAAACAAACTGTCATCCCTTAATCTGGAGAATCAAAGCCAACTTTGATCAACATAATGCACTTTATAAGAGAGAATACAAAATGTATGATGCATAATTATGTCTGTGTGCTTTTCAGTTGACTTTCTTCATATAGTTGTGATTTTAAAGCTGTGCGTTATTAAATGTTTATTTTTATTATTGTGACATTTGCCCAAGTTCTAATGGAATCAATTCAGTCGAGAGAGTAGTATCAGGCAGCGAGCTGAATCTGTGCTTTTTACAGGTGAACCAGAACCGTCCTTATGTAACTGTTAACCTTCAAGATGTTTAATAAGTTGTCAGCTTCAAATAAGAATTTGAGCCAGATATAATGAACTTGGTTCAAGAATTATGCAATCCTGGCAGTCAATCATCTCCTTGCTGAACCCCCCACCAACACCTTATCTTCTTTCAAAAGCACCAAACAGCGTCTAACCTTGTTATATAAGCAGCTGGGGCCATTAAGCACAACAAATATTTACACCCGGGCCTCATGTTGGATGTGTTTTTCAGTTCATATTGTTTTCTCATTGGGATGTAGGGTGTCTAAAGAGGATTAGGCTTTCCAAACATTCTCTGCAGAAAATCACATCTTTCTCATCAAATAGAGCCCTGTATCACATGCTGCCAGGATACTAGAATTATGCTCGCTTTCTACGGCTAAACAAGAAAGCATCATGCCAAGCAAAGAAGCAGGTTTGAGGTGAAATCACCAGGCTATCATGTATTCAGAGACTAGAAAGTATGGTAACCTCCTGCAAGGAATAGGAGGTAGAGAAAAAAAGAGTTCACTGTTATTTTGTTGGTAAGTAAAATTATTGAAAATTACATTTAAAAATGGTTCTATTTGGTCTTTTGTGACACTTTCAGCTAGTATATTTAATAATACGTAGAATTAGATTAAAATATGATGTTAAATGAACTAAAACATACTTTTAATGATTATTTTATCTTATTTTCAGACACAATACAGCTTCCAAACCTCTAATCCTGTCCAAGGGTTTGCAAAAAGTAACCACTGAGCACCGGGTCAGAGTAACCACAGGGAAAGAGAAAGAGGTATTGGCTGCCCTCTGTGCATCAATGGATAGAGCATTCCACGGGATAGAGTAAAACCATGTTCCATCAGAAACAACAATGCTTGATCCAAGATTTAAAAACCTGGCCTTCAACGACAGTTGAGCGGTAGATGAAGCTCTTCAAAGAATAACTACAGCAGCAACTAGATGTACCCAGGTAACTACTAGAAAGAGAAAATGCAGTGGATGAACAATAGCCAAATGCATCGGCTGTTTGGAGGTTTGGGCAACAAAAAGAAATCCATCAGCTGATGCAATTTTAGAGGTGAGATCCTATTTTGAGGAGCCCCTTTTGCAGAAGTGTAGACCCACTGAGATGACAGGAGAGCAAGGCTTCAGTGTGCCCACGTCTTATACATGTGATGGCTAGGAGATGGGGATTGTAGCAACATCAGTCCTCTCAGAGACAATCTTTTCAGACAGAAGAAGCAGGATCAACCCTAAAAAGGCTGAGACACTTGATTTTAATAAATGCAAATCTTCCCTTTAATGCGGGTTCCACTTTTCCCTATTTGTTCAGTGCATTGTCCTTTTTTCTGGTTTATAAGTATCTCAAACTTGTCTTTGATTACTTTTGAATTGGTCAAGAGTGTATTTTTGAATAACAATAAATACACTCCTTTGTGCAAAATTTTGCGTTTATGAGCAGCCTATCCTCACCAAGAACAGGCCAATGAAAGCAGTCTCTTTGTGCAGTGAACTTAGCATGCACCCCAACTGTACATGATGTCTAGGTGTCTTGCATGCATTCTCACTGGGATCATACACCAGCAACTACTGCAAAGAAAATGATTGAATGTACTCACCTCTGACTACAACAGTATTTCAGCACAGTCTCAATGAGCCCAGATTGCTGTCCACTGACCACCCCAGCAAAGAGCACAGTCGCCTACGTGTTTTGTCAGTTCCCTCTGTTTAAAGAGCACTCTCTTCTTTTTAAAGACTACAAAAATGGGTAAAGTTTGTTCTTCATTTTTTTTATATCTGGATGGATTGAGCAGAGGAGCGAGTCTCAGGCACTGCTTTGCACCCTCCTTGCTCTACCAGTGTGTTCCCTGCCCGACAATTGAAAGTAGACAGATAATGAATGGTACACATATCCCGTACCCTATAGTTGATCTCCAATCTACCACTGCATTGGGGACCACACAGTGGTTTCCAGAAGCAAGGTTGCCTCTGCAGGCAGGTGGCAGGTGTTGCCAGCCAAAAAAGTGATGGGAATAGATACTCAGTCCACAGGGGCCATTGGGTTGGAGACACCTCTGATCTGGTGCCCTTGTGATTAGTTCATGGCGAGAAGAGTCTCCCTGGTGCAGTTCTAGAGGATTTAAATCTAGAATTTCTGGAAGGCAGCCCTCTCATCAAGATGCTTGAGCTCCTCTACCAATTCAAAGTCAAGGAACTACTCAGCTAAGTCTCAAGTGGAGCAGGCTGTGGCGGTGGAGGTCAGGTAGGTGTGGCAGCTCCTGGTATTACTGCAGCTCCTCTGTGGCACACAATGGGGAGTGGCTCTCCTCCCCTTTCAGCCGACTCTTGACGGGGTGGTGACGTTGATCATCCCCGCACTTCGTCACATTACCCAGAGTAACTGAGCAGAGTCAGTGGTATTCTCTCATTTATCTCAAAGGAAAACAAGATTTTAGGGGAACAATTGAAAGAGACAATGCTAAATGAACAAAGTAATTACATAAACACAAAACAACAAAACCGTGATCATCAATAAATGGAAAATAGTAAGATTTAGATCTCACAAATCTCCAATTTTAGACTGATGCCAAGAAGTTCAAACTGTACCAGGAAATTCTCTCCTTTCAGGCCATTCTTTATCAAAAGACAGTGCAGCCACTTGGAGATTTCATCCGAATGTTCCTCTAAACCTGGTAAGATGCTCTGATGAGCGGTAGATGAAGCTCTTCAAAGAATAACTACAGCAGCAACTAGATGTACCCAGGTAACTACTAGAAAGAGAAAATGCAGTGGATGAACAATAGCCGAAAAGATCGGCTGTTTGGAGGTTTGGGCAAGGTAAGGTACACGAGGGTATAGTGGCATTTCGATCCAGGAACTGTGGGCTGCCACAGATTTTGCTCTGAGGGTGATGAAAGTGGATGTGCAGGCCACACAATGTATACTTTGGGCCTCACACTGTCTCTGCACAGGGCAATTTCCCAAGTGGTGTGGATGATTTTGCATCTTGAGTTTCCATATTCAGGAACAGGCTGAGAGTCTGGGTGAGCTAATGTTAACCCTCCCTGATATGGTTGAAGATTGCCAGAGTTGTGTACCTTTGTAGAAGATGATTAAACTGCTTCCTCAATCAGAAAAGGGTTCAAGTTTTTTCAAGTGCTTTGCTTAAGCTTTAAGTTTATCACCAGGCTGCATGCAAGGACCTCAGCATTTTGTAATGGGTTCCACAGCCAGAATCCAAGCTAGAATCACTCTCCACAATCTAATCACATTTTTTGCCCAGTTACTCTCAATGCCTAAAACGATGCCTATTTGCACCTTCCAAACTGTTCTGAACT